AATAGCAGAAAGAAAAACTGTAACGATTTACTTTATTTTTATCTATGAACTCAGAAAAACAGGCCACACTTCATGGACGAAACAACGAAAGATCAACGTTTCCATTGATTTTATCACCTCCGCGGGTCGTTCGAAATAGCACGAAGATTTGCGCGAAGCCGAAGCTGACGGGCGCGCGCCTGTCTTATTCAATCGGCCGTCCGGAATCTACATTCTCTTAACAGTTGCCTGGATAATGAAAAGACATCGGAAGAGCCGAGGGAATATTGAGAGAGCGCTCGAGTGAATATTTCAGGACGCGCGTCAATAATTTATTGCGTTATATCCCGCGCTTCGGGCAGAGACGTTATTATGAATGCCGTGATGCCGTTATGCGTCCGCGTGTAAAATAGATGATGGTGCCGCCATTCGTTACCGGTCGCATGGTATATTTCCATCTTGCGAGCGAAAATCTCGCGACACGTAGAGTCGTTCGTCGCAAGGATGACGATGTGTCGTCGCGTATGAAAGGGTATGCGCGTCCTGATCCAATTCGACCCAATTCGATCAAGTTCGATCCGCGCGGAATGCCGATCGAGCTGCCGTTTATTAGCAACTGCTAGTCAGTAATCAGCCAGCGTGGACTTCAATGGATGATCAGAGATAGAAGCCACCGGTTTGCTCTTGAAACTGCAATCCCTCGGTAAAATGAAACGATAAAACGTCTGCGGCAAGTCCTGTTTCGCGACGGTGCATGAGAATACTTTGGCCAATAAGGGGCAACTCTGAATTAACCGCTGAGATTTTCTTTCTTTTTTTTTTCTCTTCAAGAGATCATCGAAACTGAAGACGCGGGACGCGACAGCCAACAAAACAGATCGTCCATCGCATTTTATTCTGCATTTTATTCGTTTCTAGCTTTATTCTTTCAGAGCAATTATTTTTCATTTCGTGTGAGGAACAGAGGACTCCAACGCAACGAGTGACGCAAATGGACGTCATGTTTCCTTCCTTATGTCTTTCATCATAATATCGCATCAAGTTGAAGATTTGAAGATTCTTTAAATTTCAAGCTCGCTCGGTCCTTTATAAATACACCGTCATTCGCATGAAATCGGGTAAAACTTGGTGTAGCCGAATTTCCACGACCAATTGCCCACGATTGTCTGCAGTCGACCGTCATAAGCGTTGCATTATGGAAAACGTATGACTCCGGCGATTCGTAATAACCGTTTCGATCATCAGCGTGAGTTTCCGTCTCGCGCAGTTCATTACACGTATATTCTGCGCGAAAAGACGGTGCGCTTTTAGCTGATCGCTGGGTTAATGGCACGGAAAGTTCATAGGTAATATTCGCGCGCCGGACCCGAGTGTCGAATCTATCTTAACCAGTATAGGGATGGTAGGTTGTTCAAAAATACGCGAGATCAATGTAGCGCGAGCCACAGAGCAGCGATGCGATCTCAAGACACCGTATCGGAGATAACGTCATCCGTTAAAAATGATGCGTCACTTATGCATGTGTGGCCGTGTCAAATATGACGCGCGCTCAACATATATAGCACGGTTCTTCCATCTTTTCCTTTCCCTTCCTCCGATCCTTTCTCCGATCGACTTCTTGATTGATTGAATTTTCGATCATCGGCGAGACAAATATAGCAGCGATTTATTAATAATGCCGATCATAAGGATTAACGTGAATGTTTGCGCGTCCGTGAAATCGCACTGCCAGTTCACGATGGAGTCTCTCTCGGGCAAATTCGGTGTATTTTCGCATAGAGTAATTTTTCTCTCGGGATTACGCGTTATGGTGCACATCGTCCGCATACGAAGGCATACATCGTCGTGATGTTTGTGCGAAGCGGCGGACCGAAATGCCGGCTCGCAAAGTTCCCTCGCGAGAGAAGCATCTACGACGAAATTACGTCTTCGCGACCGGGTCCTCTCGTGCTTCGCGTACTCCGCTTTCTTCATCGTGTAATCCCGCGAGAGGGTTCACCGCGCACCGGCTAAACGCTGATAATTAACCGCTGCAGGACCGACGCCGAGGGAAGTTCCGCACACATCCGGCCGGCGGACGCAACAGCATCGAAACTTTATCAATGATGCCACGTAGGAACTCCGACCGCGCGCCCCGCGACTGGAGCATGCGTGCTCGCTCTGGCGGACGCGGCAAAGTCTAATTATTGATCAGCGCATCGCCGCATATGAAAGCCCACTTCTTCGCGGTCGCGCGACGAAACTTGACGACGTCGCGATTTCTTCACGACGCCCGACAGACAGTCTCGAGGATTATCTCGGCTGCTTCGTTCGCTACTTTTCTAGCTCGCGCTTGGCACAACACGCTACTTGTACCTGAGAGCACCGTGAACGTGATATGATAACACGAGCGTAGAACGTTGAAGAATTGAGAAGTGCTATGAGGATGGCGACGAGAAGAGTGTTGGATAACAACGTCGCGTAACAGATGTCTGAGATAAAGGCCAAGCTGTAAAATATCGTATCGCAGAATTCGGCTAATATTTTCGTTACATTTCTGCAACGCTACGTTGAAGCTCGCGGTGAGATTCAGTTGAGAATTAATCTGAAATGAATTGCCTGCAAGTTCCGAGAAGAAAAGTTGGCTGGAGCAAAAAGTACAAAAATTGGCAGATTTGAGGTTTTGTGTTTCTTTTCGTGAAAGAAATTCGTGTTCTAACGCTAAAAGGGGGGGAATTCACGATAGTAAATATCCATGTTATCTTTTTCTTCGCGACAACTGAGTTAAATTGTATCACCTTAAGACGACGCGTGCAATCGTTTATCACATTTGAACGAGCAACAAGTCTAAAAGTGTGACTCATGCTCTCTCATATTATATTATCTCTTTTATAACATGTTGTAATTTGTATTGCACCAGTGAATATTTATTGAATCTCGGTGTCCTCGATTATATTTCATAAAAATTGCACATTCATGAACATGGGAGAAATATGCGAAAACGCGTCGGCCACGTTTTTGCATCTTTTAACAACTTTCATAGAATATTTCCAACACGGACGGTAAGCTACTTTTCTCAGGACTACCGTTTACGTTACTCGCTGAATTTTTGATCCGTTTTTTAGTATCCTTAAGAGCCATCGAGCATCTCTCGGTAACCTTAGAAAGTGTTACCGTTGTCCGAAAAGATGACTTCCTTGCAAGTACGATAAAATTTTTATATCAGCGCCAGGCGTAGAACGTTATTTTGTCATCGCACTGTGAGTCCTTTTAAACTTGCAAGCGCGGAGAAATTTGTTGCGAAGTAAGAGACTCGGTAAGATTAAGCCATTTATTTCGTTCGTGGCGAATCCATTCCTATAAATATTACATGCAATCGGCGTCTAGCTCGCGGAAAAATTTCCGACAAAACACCTAAAGTAGATTTCTCGCGTAATCACTCACGTTAGTCGTGCAATATCCGTCTAGATCTCGAAATCACTAGCGCACCATTTAGGAAAAGCATTTAAATATTCAAAAATATTTTTCAAACGAAATACGTGTGAAGTTTCACTTTTCACACACTAAATATTTCCGACGCCTTTCTACATCGATCCGATCCAAATTTCGTATTATAATAGTCTTCAATTGAAGTTTGCTTAACGCGAGACATTCGGATTTGAATGTATATTTAGTTTCAAGTCGCACACACAAATAATATGATGTGCTTGACATATTCGTACAATCGTAGTTCAATCGAGAAAGAAACCCACATTTAATTTTAAATTTGGATAAACTTCCGAAGAACCGCCTACGTCTAAGTACTATTATATTTACTTAATATCAAAATGTTAGTCGGATAACATTATATATTGCTATTATAGTAGTGCATTATTCTTTCAGATCTCCTAGGTTAGTATCAGTTTATTTTACTTAAGCTAACGTAACCCAATACAATGTAGTTGCTCTATCTTTTAATTAAAAAAAAAAAGAAATTCCGCACAAAGGGTTCGATGACTAGGATATTAGATAAACAAATATATAATCACAGTATATTGATTTATCTGGGAAAGTAGTGCAATATTATCAGCGATATATAACGTTATTTAAATTTTTATATATATAATACATAACGTTATTTTAATAATGTGTAACATTATAATAAACATTTGAATAATATATAACACGTTATTTTTAAATTTTCTCAGCATCAAACTTCTTTATCGGCGAAAGTTCATCCAAGAACACTCATTTGAAGTCATCAAAATTCATGGCAATAAGACGTGAGTGGCTTTCGGAAGTTCGTCCTTAAATCAAGTGTTTCTCACTTTCAAGTAACGTTTAATTAATAAGTATTGTACTGATTGCACGTGTGCCACGTATTTCAATCGCACACGCAAGAGCGCATGGAGCCGCATAGATGAATACTTGGAGCAAAATGGCGTTTGTTTCACGTTTATACGTGAATTTCTCACCGAGATACGAGCATTCACAAATACCGTAATTTCCGAAAGCGATCCTCCCCTGCCGAGCGACGACACACGCGACACAATACATTGCAGTGCGTTCGCGTCGCGCACTTGACACCTCTGGGTCGTTCTTTGGCGGAACGTTCGCACGCGCGGCGCGCGACATTGACGTCGGTAAGCTCGGGTCAAAGGATTCGCCGCTCGCCAATATCTTGCTGTGTCAGCAGATCGTAATAACACGGGGTAAATTGTGTTCGAAAGCTAACTTTACTCCGTTTTTCACGAAGGAGTGATCGTTTCTCCAAGTCATTCATTAATTTTGCGGGAATCAACGTTTGCATTTTCTTCTATGGACATCGATGGCCTGCGATGCACTTTGAATAATTTATAACGAGCACTCAGACGAATTCGACAAGCCGGAGGCTCATGTTAATGAGAATATACTTCAAAATGATTTACATCGCGTATCGTACGATACGAAGCATGCGACGGGTTGCAAGAGTCAAGCGCTTTAACGCATACATTAACGCTGGCTTGATCGGAAAGCTCGAAAAGCATCGACGCGAAGCTATTCACAGTCAGGTGTTTACTCACATCGCTTGGCACTGTGCGCTTGCAGATAGGCCGTAATGACGTCGCATTGTTTATCACGTTTGGCAACGACGTATTCCTTTCGGCGCAGCTGGCGAACAAGCAGACCGCCTGTGTGAACGATGTGCTTGTGCAGCGTTTCGAGCAAGATCTGCAGTTCGTCCTTCCCTGCGTGGAAAATCAACTTTTATGCGGCGGTCGCGTGCGTTAAATAAAAGATTACTCATGTGGCCGCGCAGCCTTCGATAAGTAAAATTTAATATCCAGAAAGCGACGTCGGGGATTTCAAGTTGCGCAATAGCGGCGAATTTAATAACACTTCTATGTTACGCCCGCCTTTGTCTCGCGTAGCGCTGCCAAGGATAAAGCCGCCGTTTTCCGCTCGTCATTGTCTCATCTCGTTAGAACGCGGTTAATTCGGAAAGCCTGAAAGCGCGAAAAAGTACGAGAGCGCGCGTATTGCGAGCGCGTCGTGAACGAGCGCGCTGCAAGCGGCGCTCTGCAGGAGTGATTCCATTATTCATGAAGTCAAAGCTCGATATCGAGAGATCTCGGAAAGAAATTTGCGGGACCGTCGTCGACGTGGAATCCGGAGAATAATAATAACGCTATTGCGGAGTAAACCGATTCGCCTCGTCGTCGTTGATGAGCGGATGCGACATGCAGTTTCGCAGCTTAGTATCGCGACGCTGCTCCCCGGGAACTTCTCCTCCTTAAAGTCCCGCGCGTTAACCTATCGATTAATCTGTCTGTTCGCGAATCTGTCGATTCGCACTGTTTAATTTACACACGCCGCGCATTTGTCCCGCGTAAACGATCGCGCGTTTTATTTCGCTCTCGGCGTCTCGCGAGGAGACACTTATTCCGCCGCAGACAGCCGACAAATGTCGCCGGCCATAATGCGCGGATCATTTCTTATTACCGAGAACTTCAATCACCAAGATGGCTTTCACGCGTATCCGTTTTTTTTCCCCGCGACGCCGCGCGCGGGCGTCTCTATTTATCCGCGGCGTATTGAATCATCTTACTTTTCAATAGCAGTCGAGCTTCCTGCAGATATTGATGTTGCGGGCGTGGTCTCAAGGACGAAGCCGTTGAATCGTTCTCCGAGCATGGCCTGTCGCCCATCGGGATGCCATAAATGTCCAACAGTAGCTGATCCACCAGCGAGGTGATCCCGATCTCTTTCTGAGGCGGCGTGTAGCGCATGGGTGGCGGGTACACCTGAAACGACGAAGTCGCCGGATAACACGTTGTCCTGGTTGCTTTCGCAAAAGCAGCAAAAGCCGACGGAGGGAAGCGAGGGCGCAAAGTAACGCTAATGACGACGTAGACCCGTGTTACACCGCGAAGAAAGGTCTCTCGCATTATCTCGCCCGTTCTGCCTAACGTCGTTATCTCGACAATGGCTACCCCCCTAACGTTACCCTCGCGGGATTATTGTATCAAGTCCCGTTGCAGGTACCGCTCGGATCTCCCGTCTGCGTTACTCCCAGCGTCTGGCTAATGTCTTGTGCGCGCACGTTGCGAGTTAGAGGAAGAGCGAGCATTTTTCCACGATTTCCACCGAGACACATCCCAGCAGTATTTTCCTAATAGATCAATGCGAACTCCCCTTTCCCGCCCCCGAGGAAAGAGCAATCATCTGGAAACGTGTGTATGATGCGATTCCCGCAAGTCGGCATGCCGATGTTCCCGCTCGACGTTCTCAAGCGAATCCGAGCGAACAGAGACGTCCGTCGGTGCGCGAGGCCTCTCGTATCAGCAGCCAGCAAACTCCGATGCCGGGGGATCAATTAATCTCGCTGTCGTTCGGCCGCGCGCGCGCGCGCGCGCGGCACGAACGTTTACCTTGGGCCTCCTTACGGCCACGTCGTGCTTGCCGGCATTCTCATAATTAAACGTGATCACGTTCGGCGCGTCCCTTATCGACCTGCAATGCCCTTGCCGGTGCGCGGCCTTTTCGCTCGGCTGTTCGCTGTTGAGCAGCATGAAGTCCGGGCCTTGCAGGGTCTGCTGGATCAGGTTGCGCCGTCGCTTCCTGTACACCCCCGCCAGGATCTGCATGTTGAGATTCGGCTCCTCAACGAGATCCCGCGTCTGCTGGCTGACGTACATGTGGCCGAACACGCGCTCGTTCTCCACCGCGACGTACTTCACGCGGTAGCTGATTCCCGCGTATTTCTTCAGTGGCGTCACGTTGCAGCTCGTCATCATCGTCGTCCTGATCTTTTCCCTCTCTCCTCTCTCCCTCTTTGGTGCACTCTTCGGTAGCGTCGTATAATCGTCGTGATCCGAACAATCAAAGTCTCAGCTTTCCCGCATCGCCGCGTCGGTTGCCGCACCGGCGGCGAACTTGACCGACGAGTGCGATAGCAAACGCGCGCCGTAAAGTGCACTCGATCAATCTCCGGTTACAGCTGCCTTTGTCGTCGTCGTCGTCGTCGTCGTCGTCGTCGTCGTCGTCGTCGTCGCCGTCGCATTGGTCGCAACTTCGACTCGCATAACGGCGCGGCAGTTTGCAGCGGCACGTCCGGCGTATGCCATTGATCGGCGATATGGCCCTATATTTATTTGCATTTGCAACAGCAGGTTATCTCGTTTTGGTAGCCGACCAAATTTCTATTTACCGACTACTCGTGCCTTTCGACGTCACGTTCTTTATATTTCGCGCGTTAGCCTGTGATCTTCCCGTGTCCCATGAGATCCTCCATGACTCGTGACTCGAGATGACGAGACGACGTTACCATTCGGTTCTATCGTCTGTTCTTGTGCGTGACAGTTATTGCGGAGCACATTTGCGCCGTCCGATGATTCACATGAAGTTCGGAATGTTATACATTTGACACGTGTAGTTTCCTGAATATAGCAGTAGGAAGAGCAATTAGACCCATTGCGTTGCGTTGTATTATGTGCGTTATTATGTGTATTCAGTTGCAACTGAATACACTGGTAGCAGCTAACCTTGAGCTAACCTTGCACGATACGAGAACGTTTGATAAATGATAACCGTCTTCGTAACGCCACCAAGTCACCATTGTGTAATATCAATCATTATTGTGTATATTTTATGTGTATATTTTACGCCAGTCTGTCGTGAGCTGAACCGGTATATCGTTTCCGAAAATTAATTTGCAAATAAGGAACTATCGTAAATATTCAAGCGTGTGTCACAAATTGCCGAAGTAGAGCGAGAAATATGCAATCATTCGTATTGTAATTATGCATTGACCGTTTGCAAATCGTCGATACAAATATATTAACTCTTACGCGATAAGATAACAAGAGATGACATAATTTTGTATTCTATTGTCGTACGTATATTATCTATACAGTGGTTAACATTATAACGTCGCACTCTCCGCTACTGTTCGTTCATTGTTCGTACAATTTACTTGTTTATTCTTCAGTATCCAAGAACGAGACGCCACTTCACGAAATACGTATAGTATTTTGCGTTTCTTGTCGTCAGCGAACTCGATTTTCAACGTCTGTTTTTATTTGAAAGCGACACAAATGAGCACTGCAATACAACTGCGATCCTGCTTGTATAAATGCGATTATTTGTAATATCCTTCCAATTTTTAACCTATACGTCGTATACGACTTCTTATCACGAAGTGGTAATTCCCTCCTGGTAGCTAGACCGCAACTGGAAGTGCCAGGCATGATAATCGTTTCATTAAGTCTATACTTACACGCGTGTCGTCGTCAGGCTTGGTTAATGGAGGTGGAACTGGAAAAAGGAACAGAGCATTAAATATTGTTAGCATATTTTTACTTGCGTATAAAAAACATGTAATTACGCCTTTCCAACTGGATATATATTGCACGAGATGTATAAAATACCTACTTAAAAAATACAACTTTCCGCGTTTTCTTTAATTTTAAATGATGATCAAGTGAGGGCAAGTAAAAGTTCTAGCACGATCGTCGATAGGATTATTTACTCATTGCTTCGACGAGCGATGGAATTTTCTATCGCGTTTAATCCTTGCTTCGTGCGCAATAAAAAATTCCAAGTGTCACATTGATTAGCATTGAAATTAATTTCAGGCAACACCTGAACATGAATCATAATGAAAATTACTGGCGTTTCAATTAACCGACACAAATTTTTTCAAAGAACAAACGTAGAGTACAGTACGTGTTTTACAGCGAGTTTTCAGCCGACAAGTGAAGAATATGTTCTAAAGAAGAGGCTAAATCATTCACACGCTATCACTCCCGGTCTTGCTTAACGACAGTCCACCGTATCTCACAATGGCTGTCCTCCAGGTGGTCGGGAAGACCATTTCTATTATCGCTGCGCGTGATAATACAACTGGCGCAGCATATAGTGCAAACTCTGCACGAATGCAAAATAGTGACCAGCTCGTGTTATAGTCGCTCGCTCAGTAAGTCTATTGACCCTAATCTGAAAACTGTTAGAAGGGGACCCGTATCTACACCAGACACGCATAAATTTACCTTCTCATACTTGAGGCTTTGCCGCATGTGAGGAAACGTTCGCCCCATGAGAAAACTTTTATTTTAATTTCCAGCCGGAAAACAATTTTCGTCATCATTCGCGATCGCGTTATATCAACGATAAAAATACCAACATATCAACGATAAAAGTATATCTAATTTTTATGGTCGTTTTATCGAAAGCATAAAACAATGTGTGTGTATGTGTATGTGTGTGTATTGTCTGTGACATATTATTATGTACATTACTTATGTACATTAATATGTAAATTGTTTATTACGGAATATCTATATCAGGCCGCGACCATACAACGCGGGACGTAATTGTATTTTCGTTCAATCGACTTTTGACAAGAATATGAAATGGTGTCGCGTCCGAGGAGTTATATTTAAATGATTCATTTGACATCGAGCCGTAACAATGCGGGACATACTTGTATTTTTGTTTGATCGATCACGTACAAGTCGCTTTCGTTTCCGTAGCAACCGATATCAGCCATGGCTGACTTCTGCTAGTATATTTAAACGCGTACTTACGGCAGACCGGTAATTATCGACGATTACTTGGCAAAATTTTAAATACCGCATCGCGCCAAGTCGAAGAGATAGCGAGTAAAATGGTTGACGACGCGCCGTGTTACCGCAGTGACGAAAAACCTCGGGATTATCGAGACGAGAAATTATCCGCGCTCGGTCCACGCACCGACGATGTTTATCGTACCTATAATCTCCCGTCGAGGTTCATCTACCCGAGTAAGTATTCTTCGCGGAGTAACACTGCGTTATAACATTTTCGAAGGGATTTTATTGGGTGAGTGCACAAGTTTTGATGGGAAGGGATTTCCCACAAAAGTCGAGATTGATTCAGTTTTATGGCAGCATATACAAGCATGCGAATGTATATGCATAATATACCGAAGATAATAGAGAGAATAGGGAGAATCGTTTTTAATAAAATTACTTTATATATATATATATATACTTTATATATATATATATATATATATATATACAGGTCGCGTACATGCACATTTGTTTATCGGAAAACTTCTCCATCAGAACTTTCGCACTCATCATTTCGCATTAGATTCTCGCAAAGCGTGCTCCACGAGATAATTGGAAAACGCTCGACCGTATACGCGTGGAAACGAGCGGATCTTGTTTCTCTCGCGACGCAGGGCGCAATTCGAAACAACCTACATGCTACTGCTTTCAAACTCAATATTGCGGATGTAACTGCGTAATACGACGCTGCTGCTGCTGGATATTTTTCCTCTCTCTTTCTCTCTCTCTCTCTCTCTCTCTCTCATTTTTTTGTCAAACTGCACCGTCGCGTAAAAATCTAACATTTTTCCCACGCCCTCTGTTTATACGTATCGCATTCGTATATTTTTTTAAGCTTCTCATGTCACTGGAAAGTATAAGAGGATAAAATGATAAAAGAGTCGCATAAATATTACGGATAAGATTACTTTAAAATATGTTACGTGGTATTAATGCGAGGACACACACATATACACACACACACACACACACATACACACACACACACACACACACACACACAAGCTCACGTATACACGACAAGCACCATTGATGCGTAAATAGAAATGGCATAGGGGATAATCCTTTCAATGCGTCAACGAGTACATCAGCTACTGCAGGTACGACAGCTTTTCTCGCACGAGAATACGCCGTTTCGCTTTGGATTCTGGTCCAGAAGTCGCGAGTGGCCGGCGCGATAACGTTCAGCTATTAATAAGCTGGCGCAGCCGATCACTGCACCCGTCAAATCTTATCTGTCTCGCGAGCATTTTTACGCATGTCCCAATGGAGATCCCTCGTAAGTAACTCGTCTCTGTCGCGCGCGCGGGAGCGTACACAGAGAGTTAACATGTGTGGGCCGAACGGCGCCTGGATCTTTTATCGTCGTGCGCTGTAAAGTGCGCGAGGCTGCGCGATACGGTTTTGTTATTCGTCATCGACAATTCATCGTCGCTTTCCGGTATGCGGGCGCAATATCGGTTGTTTGTCGCGGGGAGTGTACAAGACGTGCGATTTCTGCGCGGGGATTATTAATACGCATCAGTGACGGACATTTGAAGCACAGCGCTCCCCGAGATATGATGATATTTAAAAATATTATTTTTACACAATTACCTTCTGTGCTATTATCTTCATCGGCATATCAGCGCCGATGATCGGACAGAAAATATTACTTAGAAAGCAGCTGGAAAAGGTGAAACGCTGCGCGTCGCGCGTGCGTCGCGCGAGCGAAGCGATAAATGCTTGCTCGCGCGCGCGTGCGCGCAACGAACGTTAATCTTCTTTAATTCCACGAAGCCATTTAATTGAATTCCGCTCGGTTATCGCCGTAGCTGGAGGTTATTTAACTGCAAATAGTTTCCGCATAGTCAACTGATACGTTACAAAACAGAATTATTGGAAGATAACGGCTTACCCGCGCTCGCAGGCACGCGCACACACACACACACACACACACACACACGCGCGCGCGCGCGCGAGCGCGCAAGCCGCGTTAGCTTATAAATTAATTATCAAGACCAAGATAAGGAGAAGAGAGGAGTTACGTCTCGCACAACGACTCACCGCTCTGATATATTCGTATAATGATATCTCTCGTAAACTGCCGGCCACGCCGGCGAGTACTCGGCCAAGAAACCCCCGTCGCGCGCTCGAGGTCAGTACACATCCAGCCTCCGTGAGCCGCATTCAACGCCGCGCCATGTGCTTCCTGCTGCTCATTTATCTCCTCTTATCGGCCGACGTCGCGGACGTTAGTACGGAGGACGTCGACTGTCAGGTTTACAATCACCTTTACGTCTGCCTGGCGAACGGCGGCGCGCTTCACGGCGTCGCCTTCGAGGACGTCAACGCCGTCCAGACAATCGAGGACATCGAGCTGCATCTGGAGAACCTCGGGATCGTTGACATCGCGAGGAACGCATTCGCCGAGGTCACCAACTCGTCCGCGCTCTACGTCCGCGACAATCGGCTGCCGTTCCTCGGCCGGCACTACTTCGCCGCGCTCGATCAGCTCACGTACTTGGACCTGCGGAACAACACGATCTCCGACGTCGAGGAGGCTGCGTTCGCGAGACTGGCCAACCTGGAGACTCTGCTGCTGGACCACAACAACATCTCGGTCCTGCGCCCGGGCGTGTGGAAGGGCCTCACGGAGCTGCACGAGCTCTACATCACCAACAACCGGCTCGTGCTCAGGAGGAATGTGTTCAAGGGGCTTAGACAGCTGGAGACCTTGGTCCTGGACTCCAATGACATCGCGGAGATACCGATCGGCGTGTTCAATGGCTTGCCGCATATAGACCTTCTCTATCTGTCGCGCAACAGGATCTCGTCGCTACACCCGGACGTGTTCCGCGGCCTCGGCGAGATAAACGAGCTCGACCTGGGCAGGAACCGGCTCAAAGCGATCCCCGCCGGTATCTTTCGGCATATGAAGTCCCTAAACTCGCTTTGGCTCAACGGCAATCAGCTAACTGTGCTCGAGCCCGATGTCTTCCTCGGCCTGGACAATCTGCTGTTCCTGTTTCTCAACAACAACGAGCTCCGTCACGTGGACATGGCGGCTTTCGCGAGGATGAGGAACGTGACGGTGGATCCCGGGTTCAAGATACGAGGCTCGTTGGTGGAGGATCTCGGCAGGCTCCACGGCCGATATCAATGCAGCAGTGCGGCGTATCAGTTGCCGTACGACTGTGCGGAAGTCGATTCGTAGACTCGTAGAGGAATCAAGGGGATAGAACTTGCAAACGAGGCGCTTTTATATGCACAATCTACGTGAGGGAAAGCGAAAGAAAGAGAGAAATTTCAGGAAATGACGTACATGTTCGCGGGAAAAAATTATCGTCAGATATAATTCCATGACGATTGGGATGATGATTTAACGTTGCGAGCGTAAAGTAACTGATCCTCGGACACTCGTTACGAATTTATCGTAGATACGTATGTATGTTTTCCAAGATATGTGGGCGAGCCTGTGGCGCTTTTCGGAGGAGAAAATTGCGTGGGCGCGATGCAACGTGCACCTTGCAAAAATTAATATACTCACTTCAGCTCCACGTACTCTAATTGGCTGCCATGAGGCAAAAGTAGTGACTAGTTGAGCTTGAAAGATGTGCGGAAATTCAGCGGAAAAGCCAAATGTGTGAAAACGCAATCGTAACGATCGCGTTTTACCATCGTTCGCTTCATTTCACCACCGTTCGCGTTTTGCAAAGTAGGATTTGGCTTCGTTTGATCTCGTTTCCTGCAAAAACTACGAGAACGGATATCGCAGGACGGCCGCGCCGTCCCGGCGTGCGATAATCACTTTATTGATCCTTCGTGCTTTCCGCAGGCTTGTTTAAGGGTTACGGTCAGGAAAGCGGCCCTCCTCCTCATCCCTGCTACTGGAAAACCTCTACGGATTACGGCTGGTACGCGCCGACAATTCATACAGTGCCCACAACTTTTTATCCGCGAAGCACTTCTTTCAGCAGCGAGTACGGCCGCGCGGGGATGTCCAGAAATTGTTCCCTCAACACGGAACTCGACAAGTCCTTGTTCTAATTGTTCCGTGTCGCTTTGTAACCCGCTGACGTTCCGCGCTTCAAAGAAGAGGATGACGATGATAACAAATTATCGTAACGAGCGATCGATTCCGGCATATCGATCGATCCCCATGTATTCCCGTCGTCGTAAAGCGTGCGCTGCTTCTCGAGCTTCTGTTGAGGTCTCGTTAATTTGCCTGCTCTGTAACGCAGTCTCTCAGAGACTGATAAGATTTGAATAAAGATTTGAATAAAGACGGAAAAGGCCGTGATGCGTCGTCTCTTATTTTCTCACGATTGACTCAACGTCCGAACTTTCTCAATCTGTCTCGTACGTTAGAAAGTGCCGCTGAGCGGAGGGAGGAAGTCTCGCAGGTCAGCGAGAGAAACGACCGACGAGCGTGTGATCTTTTGCTAATACGTTTTCTTTTATTATTACAGTTCAGTTTACGTATCGCTTTAAACATAATAATGCATTGTTATGTATTTCAATAACAGGTTCTACGTCGGGGCGTCCTCGGAGTACACGACGCCTCCTATCTAATGTACGTCGTCAATGCCACGATATAACCATCGCAATGGTATAATAGTTATTAGTATTGACGGTTAATATCGTTCTGTTATTTTGTTTTGCCTCTTATCGATGCAACTCGCATATACTACACGTGTCGCGGTCGCCTAATCGTAATCCTGGATAAAGGATAAAACGAACCACTGCGCGTGCATAGTGTCGTGACGATTACACATCGATATTTATTCACGTCTCGCGGATAAAACATCTCGACACTTGCGGTAAATTGCTTATATTTCACATTAATGTGGTAATACAGTCGTAATGGTAACTCCAATATGGCGCAACGTATAACGTATATTATATATATAATATATATATATATATATATATTTGTTTTTTATGTGTATGCGTAACACAGTGGACATTTATAGTCGCAATCTATTGTTTTAACACATTTATGAGTAGGATTTATCGTAACAACCATAATGACTAGGAAACATTGGAAATGTTTTATAATCTATTATGGCAACAGTAATGAGGGGTGGTGAGTAATGGCTAATATATTTGCTTTTTGTCTTTGCTTTTTTACTCTTTTCTGCGCTTGTTAGTTTAGTAGACTCGTACGACGCGTGCGTGTTAAGCCGCTCTATCTATCTTCTATTTTTTATTATTTCCTTTTTTTTCGTTTCGATTATAGATTACAAGCCACGTCGAAATGTAGCGATTCGGGCAAACATTACCGTATCGATCGACAACGACTGGCAAACAACTGAACGATACAAAAAGCGAAACAGATTGCGATGATCTTCGCGTTTGCACTTATTTATCGTTAACTCGTTGTTTCCGAAGAGATTCTACGCATAAAAAATGGAGAATTAAAAAACTTCGTCGTGACGGGATTATCCCGTTTTACAGGATGTCCGCGATGTACAATTGAGAAGTATCTCAATCGCAACATTTTCCCTCGACGCAACATTTTCCCTCGACGCAACATTGATCTCTAGCAATTTCTCGTCAATGATTGCGACACGGACAAAGGCTCGATGCAATATTCTCGCGAAAAGGCGCAGACACAGCGAGCGCGGAACTCCGCAAAGTAACGCAGCAGATCCAATGCCCTCAAATTCGAAAGTAAAGTCTCGCGATCTCACATCCGACTGTTCGATGAGCGATATTTATTATTCGGAAGTCGGATGTCTCGGCTGTCGCTCATACGCGCCGCTTGTACACGTCTAGCACACCTCAGGCAGAAAACAGCACGCTTCGGTCTTATTATCTCGCCCCGTGAGTGAACTATCCATCTACCTCTACATCTCTTGCTGTCGACTACTGCGAAAAAGATTCCCTTCGTGAATCATGATCATGAATATACGCCATGATGCTCGCTGCCGATCGCTGTTCTGTTCGCCGAGACGGAAGCGGCTCTTGAAGGTCGATCGGGCTCTTTCATCGAAACTCGCGGAAACTACACCCTTCTGCTATTGTTCCTCCGGGTTCCTACCGGATCTTCCAGATGTTTAAAAGCGAAACTTCCTAGGCCGTCGTCTGTTCTTCGACTCGGCACGATCGCAACGAACATTCCGACGTACACTCAACTATTAACGCTGCGTGTGATCAGAATACTTACATATTTGCGTATTTTCGTTTTATATACGTATTTATATATATATTTTTTCTTTATATATATTTTTATATATATCTATATATATATATATATATATATATATTATTTATCTCTTCTCATATATATTTATACACGTGTTCTCGTTAATATTGTACTACACTTCCTCGCGTAACCCGCTAAAGGCTATGAATTTATAGTCTTACATTATGTAACCGATACATGTAACCGATCCTTAAGTATCCGAATACTTATATAGCCGACACTTGTGTATAATTGATACATATAACCAATGCTTATATACTCCGATACCTGTGTAATTGCATACATGTAAACAATACGTATATATCCGATACGTATAACCAATACATCTCCTCTCCAAACTATGATTAGTCCTTAGTAATTAACGATGACAGATAGAACTCGCATTTTATGTGTGTGATTTAATCCTCCGTTCACTCGCACTTTTACTCCACTCTACGCTTGTACAAATTCGAAGAACTGTATTCGTAAGTGTGATAACTGGACGCGCGCTAATGTCTACGCGCGCATGCGCGCTACGCACTACTCGGACGTTCGCTCTATATAGTCGTCCCTTGTCTCCTTCCTCTTTTTCCTTTTCCTTTTCTTTCGGTCGCTCCCCACCGCTTGTCAGGACTCGTTCTGTTGATTCGTTGTCCTCTCAATGATCATTATGAGTACGCTTATGAGCTGAAGTACCGTTAAAAGTTTATCGTTAAAAGGAGACGCGCGGAGGCGGGCGGGCGTCGCGTCGTGCTGTTCTCGCGTGTTCTCCGGTGACGCGCTCTTCACCGATTCGCGTTTCCGAAGACGATCCACCGCGTAGTTATCGGCAAAATTTCCTTCATTTTTCCTCTCACATCTCAGTGAGACAACCCCCAATAAATCTTACGATCTTTTTTTCACGCGAAAAATTTTCTGCGGCCTTTTGACTTTAATAATACTGCGTAAAGATATTTACTTTTCATTTTAGCCTAATTGCACGACTGACTCTCGCTTTTGTCATGTCTAACCCGGGCCGATATCGTGTCGAGAAGTATGCAAGATGCAGCAAAGTGCGTAATGATGGAATATATATCTGGAAAAGCGCACTCTTCGTCGATCATATCGAGTTTTTGTAATCAAGGTAGATGGATTTCAAAGAAGCCATCATTTATATGGCCGGACCGTTCCCGAACCGAATCAAAATCTTGCAGTACTTTTTATCCTTCATCTCTACTACGGAAACCGTAACGAATCATGCTGTCATCGTCCACTGCAATTCTATCATATTTCTTTCTTGTTTCTGTTTCTCTTCTTTCGCGACGGTCGAATCGCACGCATTCTCGACACGCAGTGGTATTGTTAGGAATCATCAGAGCTAGTATTTATCCTCGATAAAGTGAATATCTTAATTCGTGATAATTGAATCCTTTTTCTTAATAAACAATACGGGTCCATATTTGCATCCTTGCTCTAAATTTTATACACATTGAATATAATGAGTCTCAAATAAAATTAAAAACTTTGGTAGGCGCTGGAACGTCATGATCACAAGCGGATTACTGGTGGCGATGTTGATAATTAATATCAGACATCTATTTCTTCTCAGATCTTCAACTTTCTTCGAAACTAGACAGTGTCGTATCACTAAATGGTACTTCAGTCACTCTTGAAAAAGTATTATAAATAAATTAGGAATTTCTCGTAAGAGTGAAAAAAATTTAACACGATTAAAATCATAAAAGTCCAAACTTTCCAATAAAATCAAGTTTGTACACTTGGCTTAACGTGTATATTAAAATTTCTTAATTCATTTTCACAATTGGATTACTTGGTCACTAATTGGGACATTCACCTTACTAAGGCTCGCCGAAACGTCGACCATCGCGTGAATGTCAAGCCGAGAGAGTCGCGGTGGTTTCCAAGCACGTGACGGCCGACGAATCGATCGCTAGACCTCGATTCAACCCTTTCTGCCTCGTGGGTGGTCCGCTCGTGGGCATCAAAGCGTCGCGTCTCGATTTTCTCTTTTTCTCCATCTCCTTTTCTCCCGCTTCCCTCCTCTTCCTCCTTTTCTCTCTTTCTCTTGCCACGAGAACACGACCAACGAATGCGCTCGTGTTCGGTAAGAGACGGATCATTCCGCTTGAGAAAACGCGACGATCACGGCCGCCTACCCGCCGACGCTCGTCCTCTAATCTACTAATCTCTTCCAGTTACATACATATCGTATATAACCGATGCTCGTATATGACCGATACATATAACCGATACTTATACGTAATCCATACATATAATCAATACTTATATACTCGATACTTGTATAGAATCGTCATATAACAGATAATCATACATACATATACATGTATATATATATATATATATATATATATATATATATAATTAATGCTTATATAAAAGATACTTATATAGCCAATTATACGATCAAATTACTTGCGTAACTTGACACCGTTTACGTTAACTCTTAAGAGTTATCCCTAACGAATCTACTTAAGATTTAGACCTGTGTCCTCATGAAATCTTAACGCGCTAATTATCCTCGGTATTCTCCTTTTTTCGGCACTATAGGCTGACGTTAATGATAACCGATTAAATAACATTGACACCATGCTATACGTACAGTAATATTACTTATTTAACGTTATGACATACGATTTAATCGTTTAGATGCACGTATGCGCGTGTAACATGTGTATCTGTGTGTTCGTGTGTGTGTGTGTGTGTGTGTGTGTGTGTGTGTGTGTGTGTGTGTGTGTGTGTGTGTGTGTGTCGTGTATATGAGTATTATAGTGTATCATAGGATCATACATGTGGCTAGCACGCATTGAAATCAAGGAGGTAACGCACGGTACTAGGCCGCGACGTATAATATTTGCCGCGCCTACTGCTATTACTTTGTAGCTCGAGTTAGTTTTAACATTAAGTTCGTTACACAGAGATACATATTGAGTATTATCGAGAGGCGAGCCGTCGTGTAATCGGGGCTAAATCGATGATGCGTACTCTATCCTATTGGCCAGCTCTCGAACGCGAAACTAAAGCGACCCCGCGTGAACGCGCTCTTTCTTCTCTTGTCTCGCGTCTTCGTTGTAAATCACGCTTAC